GCCAGCCTGGGCTACCAAGTGAGTTCCAGGAAAGGCGCAAAGCTACACAGAGAAACGGTGTCTCGAAAAACCAAAAAGAAAAAAAAAAAAAAAAAAGGAGAAATCTGGGAGGAGAGAAGAAGTAGCCAGAGAAGGAGGAGGACTCCAGGAGTCAGCCACCAGCCACCCAGCCAGCCATGGAGTAAGAGTGAAAGTGAGATTAAAGAAAGGGAAAAGTCTAGAGGTGAAGACAGACAGGATAATTTAAAGTTAAGAAAAGCTGGCAAGAAACAAGCCAAGTTAATACCAGGCATTCATAATTATGAATAAGCCTCCGAGTGTAATTTACTTGGGAGCTGGGGGGCGGGCCCCTCAAAAGAGCCAAAAACAACTAACAACAGCTCTTTGTCAGGAGAACATCTTGTGCACTGAGGTGCTTATATTGACTGAAACAAAATGCACCCTCTCCTAGGCATATTTCTTGGTGCCAAGGCCCAGGTCAAACCCAAGGGCATAGCTAAGTATGTTCAGATGGACCCATACAACGTAGGGGTAATAACTGAGAAGTAAGCCAGCCTTGCCCTCCACAGCAGCCTGCTTACCTTTCGTGTGGTAGCATCGTGAGCTTTCCTCTGAGGTCAGCTTCCTTGAAAAGCCTCTCTCGTGGATTGTAGAGAAACTAGAAGACTGCTTCAGTGATGTGGGATGTCCTTCTGCACGCTGCAAATATGTGTTGCTTTTATTGGTTGATGAATAAGGCTGCTCTGGCCTATGGCAGGGCAGAATATAGCTAGGTGGGAAAGCCAAACTGAATACAGGGGAAAAAAAGGGCAGACACTGAGAGACACTGAGGGCCAGAGGGGAGCAAGATGTAATGGAACACAGGTAAAGTCATGAGACCAGTGGCGATACCAAACCGTTTGTAATTAATATAAGCCCCCGTGTGTTTATTTGGGGCCGAGTGGCTGTGGAACACAGGAAAACTTCCAGCTACATTTCAGGGGAGCATTTTTTTTTTTTAAAGAATAAAGTTAGTAAAACTGGTATGAGAGAGATACTTGTGCCTTAGCTGTACCTCATCATCCTCAGTAAAGAAACGTGTGAGAAGAGCTTTCTGGACCAGCCTGTCAATTTCAAGACTGTGGCAGAGAGAAGGGGGTCAGAGGGGAAGACACAAAGGGATGATGTGGAGTGGGGGCCAGGAGCAGTGGGCTGTCACTCAGTAGCTAGAGATCTGGAGCAGCCACGGGATAGCTCTGCTGCCTGGGCTTCCTTAAAGATGAACCGCCACAACTTGCAATGTGCACCGTGGCTCCCGGAAATGGATCCAAACCCACTGCCGTCATTTCTAAGTCTGGCAGTGCCCGGCCTTCGTTAACGTTTCTTTAAGCAACCGCTGTGGTATCCGGTGCTTGCCAATCACTGAAACCTAGTCCCTGTCTTGAAGCACCCCAGATTGGCAGGACGCTTTCATAACAGTGGCTCAAGCTAGGACCTGCTCTCCCATAGAAACCACGCTGAGGCTCAGGACTCTTGACTTTTCCCACCTTCGGGTTTCACTCTAAGGACACTGTCCCCGGGGACCAAGATGGCAGCCAGAGCTCCGGTCACCACATTCACACTCCAGGAGGCTGACTAGGAAGGATCCATACAAGCCTCTCAAAGGAAGGAAGGATCCCATAAACTGACACATAGTCCGTCCCCATATCTCACTGACTCCACCGACCAGTCACAGTCACACAGCTATGCACAGACATGGCAGAGTCAAGGAAATATCTTCACTGTGGTCATGTACTTGTACAACAACAAAAAATCCCAAGTGTGACAACAAATAATGGAGAGGATTTGAGGGCGAGGAGCCCTGAGTCGCTCCTGATGTGGGGTACAAATTAATACAACTTTTATGAAAATCAGTTTAGAGGTTTTTCAAAAAATAACAACTAAAACTGCTGCGGGCCGCAGGAAGATATCCTAAGAACCCAGCTGGTTATGGCAAAGTCACTACCTGGAGGGATCAGGGAATTCCTCCAGAGGAAGCCAAATCCCAAGGAGTTTTTGGTGTTACTTGGCTTGTTATATATCAGCTGTCTTCTGTTATGAAATCATGTGTGCCTTCAAAGCTTTACCAATTGACTTTTCCCTAAGAAGGGCTAACAGTGTGGGCTGATCACTCTCTGGACATACACATTCCAGGTGTTTGGAGAACTGCCTCAGGAAAGGCTTTCTCTGGAATCAGATTCTCCCTTGGCCACTTTCAAGGACTAGCAGTAATAACAGTCCACATGCAAGTCTCCTGATTTAAGATAAATTCCACAAGGAGACACCGCCTAGGTCAGGTGGATGTTCAGTAACCGCTTTACACAATTTAGCTCGGACCCTCCTTTCTTACAGCCTTACTAACTTTATAAGACCTTTAACTCCTTACCTAACCACTTCTAGGAATATTTAGATAACCTTCTGCACTGACAGCTATGCTCAGCCAGAACTCCAGTTCAAGCCTCCCTGTAATTACCATCACTGGCAGCATCCGGCCAGGTCCATCCCCAGATGGAGGCAAGTACCTTATCAGAGATACCTCTGTACTCTCTAAGAACAGACTTACGCATCCAGACGACCTGTTTGAGAAGGCCTGGCGGATGTGCCAATTAAGCCTTACTTCCTCCTTCCCCAAATCTTACCTCCAGTTCCAGATCTCCCTTTAACTATCACCAGAGGCATCTAGCTGTACACAGGTTGCCTAGTGACTGAGCACACTTTTCCCCCACCCTGCAGAAAAACGGCAGATAGCTTGGACAGATAGGAGCCACAGGAAAAAAAGACAGTTTTATTTTCTCCCATTGACCTAGCAACTTATAGATTCTTAACATTTTCTACTAATCACGTTTAAGAGTTTAATAGTTGAGCACATAAGATCCCTCTTCTTAGATATTACCCGAATTTAGCCTTTAGTTAATTCATTTCCCCATTGGTCACTTCCCTTTGGGGTTGCAAATGATAATTAACAGTTACTATGTGATTCTTATCACCCCTCCGTTTGACCCTGGAAGCCTGGCTTTGTACTGCTAAGGGAATACTGCTTGTAAGTGTATATATACCAGGACTTCCAGGACACGTGAGGGACAGAGAAGAGAAAAGAGAGTGAAAGAACTAGATGGGTAAGAGCTGGAGAGGAACAAACTGAGATGGGGAAGAACTAGATTGAAGGACTAGAAGAGAGGACTAGAGGAACGAGATAGAAGATGAGGAAGAGTCATATGGGGAAGTATTAGCTGGGTAAGAGCAAGCTGAAAAGGACCTAGATGAGGCAGAATTAATACGAGAGAATTAAGATAGAACTTAGAGGGAGCAATAGGTAAGTATAGAGAGAAATCAGGCAAGAAAGGAGCTAGACATGAGAACAGAACTGAAGCTGTGTATAAAGGATGTTATGCCAGAGGAATTAAAGCAAGTGGACTATGGAGCTCAGTGTGCTGAGATTCTATTTCCTGAAAATAGTCCTCGCCGTTAGTAGTTCTCTCTCCTGAGCCCCTGGGATGTATAATATTTTAAGGCTGGGTCCTCTAATATTATACAAGATAAAACTACCATATGACCCTCACTCCTGGGCAGACATTCGAGCACAGATATCCTCACACCTACCACCCAAACATGTTTGCAGCTGCTCTGTTCACTTCAGCGGGGAGATGGAAGCTGCCCAGCTGTCCATCAACACACGAACAGATCATGAGAATCTAGCTCACCTCACACTTGTGGGAACTGGCCAATCCATGTCCTCAGCTTTTACTCCTGCCTCAACTTCCCTCACCAATGAAGCTCTGTATCACCCCCACCTCTCTGTTCCCTGAGTAGCTCTATCTCCCTCCCTCCCTCCCTTCCTCCCTCTCTTCCTTCTGTCGCAGGGCCTTAGCACAAGCTGTCCCTGCTTCCTAAAAGGCTCCCCATTCATTCTCCCGATAGCTCCTCAGGTTCTGAGCTCACACGGTACTTTCTGGGAGCACCATTTGTCACACGCACACTCTTTCTCTCCCCATCCCAGGGTAAAAGCCTCACACCGCTCTCCTTCTTCAACCGTTCCCATGTACCACACCTGCCCGAGACAGACAGAAAAAGCCACGAGAGGAACTGGTGTTATGGACTCATGTCCAGGAGGGCTGCTGATAGGGGCCGACTGCTTCCTGAAGGACACAGAGAATACCCAGGACGGCCAGTCCCCAAGAACACTGTTTATGAGACCGAACCCCTCAGTGGCCTAGAACTCCATGAGTCGACTGACTGGCCAGTGATCGCTGGCCCGGGATCTGCCTGCCTCAGCCTCCCCTGCAGTCAGGTGACAGGCACACAACACCATACCCAGCCTTTTTCACATGGGTTCTGGGGACTGAACTCAGTCTTCATGCTTTTATCAACAGAGCTATCTTCCAACTCAAATTCCTCCTTATAGAGGCTGCCATCCACCACCTTCTTTAAAACCCACTGAAGGAATGGAAGACTTGACCGAGTCTTTGACAGGTTTCTGGGAACTCTGATTTATAGCTGAGTCACAGAAGAAGCGGATCTACTACAGGTCCTCAATGCGTGAGCAAGACAAGGGCAGGTGGCAGGTTGGTCTTGGAGAAACCACGGTCTGGTGTCCTGAATTCTGGACTCTCGGATAGTCTGCAGCCTCTGAAATGCATGTTTTGAATGCAGCCAGCTGCATTCACTGAGCAGATGGGGGACTGTCTGCTCATGGTTAGAGGCTCTATCACCTGCGCATCCAAACACCCCTTCAGTCCTGGTTTGCCATTCAAATTTCAGCTGCTTTCAAGATGCCAGTTTTTGATTATTCTATTTCCAGGACAGAAGATGGGATCTCTCAGCTGGGTTCTTGCAATAAATGTCAGAAGGCTTTCTGTGTTTTGGTACAAAGGAACCTATTTGTTTTGGGCACTGTGGCTGGCAGTGCCCAAATAGTGACTAATATTTTGATGCTGATCTCTGAGGGACAGCTGGCCTCAGCAATGCCCATGCTGTCTGTGCTTGGGGCAGGAGTGATATTTATAGAGCTCCATCTCATGCTAGGCCCAGGGCCTAGAGCTTACAAAGGAAGTCCCGATACCCTATGGAGTGCCTTCTTGGTGGCAGGCCTACCTCTGAAGATGAAGGCGTTCAGACAGTGACAGGAGACAGCCCCTCTCTCATAGAGTTTACAGACTAGCCGAGGGAGAACTCCAACCAACAAAAAACCCTCAGTGAGAATGGGAGACCGTTACAGAGGCACAGGGCATGGAGGTGGGTGGCATCATCTCTGTGCTGGGGCCCAGCCTCTTCATACTGAGTGCTCCAAGATAAACACATGGCATCTAACATGGCATCAGTGATGTCAGATACGGGCACTCGGTCATCAGAAAAAGGCATGTTGACCTAGGGCTTCAAGGTCAGTGTGGACGTGGCCATGGTCAGCAGGAATGCTCAGAAAGAAAGGGGATAGGGCTTACTTCATCAGGAGCATCCTCTAGACGGGGCCAAGAAACGCAGCCCTGAGAGTGAGGGTGAGGGGGTCATGAGAGGGTCATGAGGGGGTCACTGCACGCTGCGGCTGTAGTGAAGTAGTAGAATGTTTGCCCTCTCAGGAGGGGTGGGGGAGGTGGGGAGAAAAAGAGGGTGGGGGGAAATACAGAGACAGAAGGACTGAGCCCCAGATGTGAGCCTGGAGCCACGAGCCTGCCTATCTGGGGCTCAGCCTGGACTCAAAGCCTGGCTGGGTCTGCTCCTCTCAGTTCCTGGGGCTGTCCCCATGCTCCTTTCATAGATGGATAATCGGGGTCCTAACAAGCCCCTCTCTGAGAAAGTGGGGTAGAACAGGACAGGGAGATCCAGGACAGGCACCAAAACTACACAGAGAAACCCTGTCTTGAAAAACAAAAAACAAAATAAAACAAAAAAACAAGAACCGGACAGGGATGTGCCTTCCACAGAAGGCCACAGGTGCTCCAGGAAACCCGGGGTTGTGAAGTTCAGGGTCCAGGTCTGTGCTCCCCACTTACCAGAAGGGTATGGAATTTCTTGTTTTTGTAGTGGTCCGCCTTTGGGAAGGAGGTTCTCATACAAGTGAAGAGGGTGAACTCTCTTCCTAGGAGAGAGAAAAGCTGCTCTGTAGTGTCTGGTCACTGCAGGTGAGAGCGTAGGAGCCCTAGACGGTCCTCCTGGAAGCATCGACAGGAGCAGAGGTGGCCCCGGGCAAGCACGGGCCTCTGCTCAACAGGCAGAGCTGACGAGCTAGCACAGACTGATGTCTACACGGCCACACGTGCGGGCGCGGTGCACAGGACCACAAAACAAGCCACCATGCTCCACAGAAAACTAACAACCCGGACTCCCACAAAACCGAGCCAAGTGCAGGTAAAACGTTCCTTGGTTTGTTTTCCAGACAGCATTTCTCTGTGTAGTCCTGACTTGCCTGCTGGAGACAGGGTCTCTCTGCTCTGTAACTCTGGCTATAGACCAGGCTGGCCTTGAACTCACAGAGATCCGCCTGCCTCTGCCTCCCGAGTGCTGGGATTAAAGGCGTGCGCCACCGCTGTCCGGCCTCCTGACTCCTCCTAAATGTGTTTTGGTTGTTTGCTTTTGAAACAGGGTCTTACTATCTAGCCCTGGCTGGCCTTGAACTCTCTCTAGAAACCAGGTTGGTCTCTAATTTGCAGTCCTCTCGCCTCAGCTTCCCAAGGGCTGGCATTAGAAGTGTGTGCACCAGGCCTGGCTGGGGTAAAAGTTTGGAAAGAAAAATCCAGGGCTACAGAGATGACTTGGCAGAGAAGCACACTCTGCTCTTACAGGGGGCGGGACCCGGCGCCATTGTCGGCATCCCCAGAGCGGCCACAAACATGCAACTCCAGTTCCTGGGAATCCAACGCCCTCTTCTGGCCTCCGTGGGCACCAAGCACACACATGTGGAACACAGACATACATGCAGGCAAAACACTCATACACATAAGATAAATCTAAAAAAACAGAAAAAAATGTAAAACAACAACCAAAGTAAAAGAAAATCCAGGGCGGGGACGTTGCAGTGTTGGAGTTCAGGATTAGCATGTGCTAAGGCTCTGGGTGCGAGCCCTGAAACCACCAAAAATAAGAAAAACTATCAATATGATAATATAGCAAGTTGTGAAACTTTCGATGCGTCAAAACAAAAAATATTGAGCATAGCTAATCCTTAGAGGCAAGGATAAAGACAATTTGAGGACTGGTTTTGCTGGACGGTGGTGGCGCACACCTTTAATCCCAGCGCTCTGGAGGCAGAGGCAGGTGGATCTCTGTGAGTTCGAGGCCAGCCTGGTCTACAAAGCAAGTTCCAGGAAAAGTGCAAAGCTACACAGAGAAACCCTGTCTAGAAACACCAAAAAAAATAAATAAATAAATAAAAAATAAATAAATAAATAAATAAATAAATAAAAAGGACTGCCTTCTTTCTCTCTTTCTTTCTTTCTTCTTTCTTTCTTTCTTTCTTTCTTTCTTTCTTTCTTTCTCTCTCTCTCT